GGGGGGGAAGGAACAGTGGGGCAATCTTTGACGCCTCTACCAACACCATGTGATGATAATTAAATAAACAACATAATATAATGAAAGAACTATTACAATCATACTTATTTCAAATATGTCAAGTCCTCTAAGGCAGCGAAACTTGGAAGACAACAAAGACAGTACTGAATAAAGTCCAGACTTTCATCAACGGATGTATGAGGAGTATCCTAAGAATTATGTGGCAGGGTAAAATAAGAAATGAAGAGCTATGGGAAAGGGCGGGACAAAAAGATATAGAAGTAGAAATAGGACTACGAAAGTGGCGTTGGATGGGACACACCTTCAGAAAGCCCAGTGGAAACATCACAATACAGTCGCTGCAATGGAACCCACAGGGAGCACGAGGCAGGGGTAGGCCACGAGAAACATGGAGGAGATGTGTGGAAAGGGACATGAGAGAGATGAAGCTCTCTTGGAACGAGCTAGGATGGATGGCCCAAGACAGAGATAAATTGAAAGAGCTTGTGCTTGTATGTGGCCTGCCAGGGGTGAAAGGCACTGATGAAGATGAATTTAAAATATTAATAATGATAATGATTTCGGGGGTTCCATTAAATCTTGACCTTCACCAAAAGTGGGCATTGCCCTACCTATAGGAGAAGTTTGGTTTCACTGGTGTGTATATTTGTTTGGCTATAGAGAAAACTCTCCTTGTCTTTTACAGAAACTGAACAAGGGTCCAAAAACTTAACCTTCGATTTTCCCAAAACAGCATTTTTCGGGATAGTCCCCTTGTTCTTAAAAGCGACCATATGTACATGTCAAAATGTTCTTTCCCTTGTCTGAGGATCTATTCCTTGCACTACTGTTGCAGAACCCCCCCCCACCTCCTCAGCTCCTTGTTTCCATTTTTGTCTTTCTCAGCGTGCGCAACTTGTACATGGGACTGCCTTCATCTAAGAAGGCCAAGTGTTGGATCTTACCTACCCCAAGAAGAACAGGGGTATGGCTGAAAGACAGCAGTAAGAAGGAGCCAAGGAGTAGCAGTGGAAAGGCTGCAGAAAGAGTCAGATGCCTCAAGGGAAGGGCAAAACATGTGTAGACGACAGAGCAGTGTTAGAGCGTAGATTATAAAAATTATCGACCTCTATTCCAAATGTGTGTTTGTATAATATATATATATAGAGGTGAGTGTTTGTGGAACTTCTATCCGCTCACATCATCCACTCACACACATTCACGCAAAAAGGGAGAAATTGAGAGAAGCTTTAAGATAATTGAAAATAAAAACCAGCCCCAGGGCGAAAAAATATTTAGAAGACAGAAAAAAGGGAGTGCTTATTTAGGCCACATATGGCCTAAATAAGGTAAGGGAGGAGGGTTTAGCTTATTTAGGCCACGCATGCTCAGCTCAAACTACCCTTTTCAGGCAACTGAGTTCGTTCCACTTTCATAATGGTACACCTTTCTCATTTAGTACAGTTTTGTCTCAGTGTACAACTTTTAAATCATAACCATAATGAATATTGTAAGAACAAAGCACAATACGCCACATTTTGCTCAATTCCAGTGGTTTGAATGAGGGCCAGATTTTTCCTTTATGGAGGGGCAAAAGCTAGGCTACCATTTTGGCACACTTTGGTCAAGTGAAAAGGTCAAATCCTCCGAATGAACTTCCGGGTCAAATTTGGGGTATGAAAAAAGTGAGTACACAACGTGGCTAGTGGCTGAGTCAAAGTTACACTATCTTTGCCTGAGGGCACTCTCTCGCACTGTCTCATAGTAGTACATGTAGTAGTATTAGTAGCAAAGATCGTGTAGAGAATCTTTGGTAGTAGATTCTATCTAGTAGGCAGTTTAGTGAACGTGCACGCGGCAGGGCGAATCGGCCTCGATAAGCCCTGTATACTTTTGTGATCAGCCACGAAGCCTCGTGTTTTGATGGGTCTAAACAACTCAGTGTTAATCACACTGCCACATCCGACAGGCCTACATCGTTTTAAAAGAAAAACAAAGATCACCAAAATAGTTGAATTCGCGTGAAAATCGATTCGGTAGAATTGGAACTATTAAAATTTGTTTCTGAAAACAAGGCAATTTTTACAACTCGATGAAATAAAAACTACTGGCTGTGTTATTCTACATAAATTATGAAACTTCTGGTCGTATTATTATTTTCCAACATCTTTTGACCCCTGAGCTGTAGAGGTTGAAGTTTTCACAACACTAAGAGATCTAGATCTAGTAATAATAGGGATTTCCGTAAAAAATGCATAGATCTACAAAAGCCGAACCACCGAATCGACTGGTCAGCGACCCGGGCACCCCGACCTACCCTGCACACTGTGATAACGTGTTGCTTCGGCATTGCATTATTCAATTATTAATACATGCAACTATGGCAATTGGGATGTACTGACTGACAAAACAATTCACAGTTTTGTTTTTATTTTACCATACATTTGACTTTAATAGTGCAGGTTGTAGCTAGATCTAGATTCCCTGTCTAGAACCAGTAGTAGCAGGCCTATGCTAGAAGCAGCCAGAGAGCCTACAACAGCTAGATCTAGATCTAACTTATTGCTCTATGCCTTTAAGCTTTGGAATTGAAATAAAATGAATTGGACTGTTCCAGTTAATTTTAGATTCAGTAACTAACTGTATTACCAGAGTTAATAATAACAAATCACACCATAACAATCACTTTTACTTTTATTAGAATAATTAGATCCAACTTTTTTTTCTAAAATCTGTTTTGCGCAAACTTACGATTTTCTCTACTTGTAGAGCACAGAATTTACATTGTAAGCCTCTGCTCAGTCTTTTAGTATACATACATGTAATAAAATACACACACACACAATATATATTATTCTGGATACTTTTAGAACTCTTTTTTTAATATGGCATAAAATCATATTGTGCCATTTTCTTTGATAAGAATAGAATTAACAGTGGACTTTTTAGACAGCGAGTCTCTGATTCAATATTTTAAAAAAATATATGCTAATCAATGAAAATAATCAATGAAAATTGCAAATTGATTACAGTATACTCCTGTAGAGGGTAGGTGAACTCCAGGGTCTGCATAGCGAAATACTAGGTTTTAGGATGTGAACCACAGAGTCACCGTAGTGAAATAAGGTTTGGTTTAAGTAAGGATTGGTGGACCCCGGGGTCAACGTAGTGATAAATAAGCAGGTTTAAGGTGGACCCCGGGGCCCGGGGTCTACCTAGCGATAATACTAGGTTTTTAGGACAGGTGGACCCTGGGGTCACCGTAGTGAAATAAGTAGGTTTAATTTTAAAAGGATTGGTGGACCCCGGAGTCACCATAGCCGTAGAGGAATAAGAAGGTTTAATTAAGATTTGGTGGACCCCAGGACACCGTGATTAAACCTACTTATTTTACTACGGTGACCGCATGGTCCACCTATTCTAAAACCTAACTAGTATTTCGTTAGGTAGACCCAGGGGTCCACCTTAAACCTACCTATTTCACTACGTTGACTCCGGGGTCCACCAATCCTTATTAAACCCAGATCTACTTATAATTTCACTACGTTGACCACGGGCTCCGCCAGTCCTACTATAAAATAAACTGAGATCTACTTATTTCACTATGTTCACCCCGG